TCACTGTGCATTTTCATGCAGAGATTACTGAGCCACTTGAGATGACGCCTGCAGGAGCTGTCAGGGAGAAAAAGTATCAATGTACAACCAGGTGACTGAGCATTTTTCTGGAACTGAAGGGTGTCCTGGAAAGTGGAACTCAGGGCTAAAGCGAGGAGTGTCCTGATGGACTAGGATGGTTGGTTAACAGCATACCATAATCTCCTCCGTGAAGATTTGCCCTCATCCCCAGTGGTTTTTCCCTTAGAGCCTGGAGTGATGTTAATGTCTCATAGACATTTACCCTCTGGGTGCAACTTGTAGAGGTTTCACTGACGGTGCTTAAGGTTTTCCCAAAGGCAATCTTGTGATGCTTTGTCGCTATTCAGTCGCTCAGTCGTGTCCGACTCTTTGTGGCCCCAAGGACTGCAGCAGGCCAGGCTTCCCTGTCCTTCACTATTTCTTGGAGTTTGCTACACTCATGTCTTCGGTGATGCCATCCAACCATCTCATCCTCTGTTGTCCCCTTCTCCTCCTGCCCCCAATCCCTCCCAGCATCAGGGTCTTTTCCAATGAGTCAGCTCTTCGCACCAGGTGGCCAAAGTACTGGAGTTTCAGCTTCAACATCAGTCCATCCAATGAGTATTCAGGACTGATTTCCTTTAGGATGGATTAGTTGGATCTCCTCGCTGTCCAAGGGACTCTCAAGCATCTTCTCCAGAACCACAGTTCAAAAGCATCGACTCTTTAGCACTCAGCCTTCTTATGGTCCAGCTCTCACATCCATACATGACTGGTTTTGCAAATCTAAAACATTCACTATGGCCATTTTCCCTATCAGTTTCCTTGAGGAGTCATAGTCTATAAATTATTCTGTCACAAAAATTCTTTTTTTTTTAATGAAAAGCAAACTCTGTCAGTTTGGGGAGGCCTGACATTGTAGTGGGAAGAGCAGGGATTTTGGGAGCTGAAGGGTCTGCTGTTGGATTCTGGTTTCATTATATACCGGTTGTGGTGGACAGTACTAGTGGTCACTGAGTCCTATTTCATTTTCCTCCTCTGGACATGCAGGAAGATCTCTCAGGAGCCCTGTGAGCAGTTCTGCCCAGCAGTCCTAAGCTGCATGACTGTGGAGCCTGGGGTAACTGGAGGGAGTCCCTCCGTGCCATATAACCTTGTTGCCGAGGCCGTTAAGACCATGTGTCCTGGCTGCTGCAGATTCGAGACGGCAGCTGCCCCTGGGAAACGGTGTGAAGCAGAGACCCTCTCCTCTCACTGTTGTCTTGCACTGTACTCTGTGCAAGCAACAAATAAATACTTGTTGGTTATGTTAAGCTGCTGAGATTTTGCAGTTAGTTTATTACTGCAGTGACCTAATAGACTATAGCCTGCCAGGCTCCTGTGTCCATGGGATTCTCCAGGCAAGAATACTGGAGTGGGTTACCATTCCCTTCTCCAGGGGATCTTCCTGACCCAGGGATCAAACCCAGGCCTCCTGTATTACAGGCAGATTCTTCACTGTCTGGGCCACCAGGGAAGCCCATATTGGCTAAAACACTAGTTCTGTGTCTTCGTCACTTCAGGCTGCTCTAACAAAATACCACGGATAGGTGGCTTAAGCAACATAATATTCATTTTCACAGCTCTGGAGGCTAGAAGTCGGAGATCAAGGCACCAGCAGAGTTGGGCTCCTGGTGAGAACTGGCTTCCCGGCTTGCAGATGACGGCTTCTGGCTGTGCTCTCACATGGTGGAGGCAGGCCCTGGTGTCTCTTCCTCTTCTTAGAAGGGCACTAATCCTGCTCTGAGGATTCTACCTTCATGACCTGATGTAAACCTAATCATCTCCCAACACCCCGCCTCCTAATACCATCACGTTGGAGTTAGGGTTTCAATGTATGAATTTCTGGGGATACATATTCAGTCAATAGCACTTGGAAACCTTGAACAAGCTACCAAATAATGCTAACGCTATAAAAAAGGGAATAATAATAAATCCTTCAAAGAGCCACCCTAAAGGTCTGCTTGTGACACTTAAATGAACTATTGTAGATGTGATGTCTAGAGTGATGCCTTCCTTTCTCACATATTTACTAAGGAACTGTTTTAAGTGCTTTCTTGAAATAAATCTAACAACCTCAAGAAGCAACACTTCCTAAGAGGGGGAAACCACATGTTATGAAATACACAACGATGTAGAAAACTTGTAGATCCCTGGGGCAGTCTATGAGTTTAGTGGACAAGGTTCAGGGCAAATGAGGGAGCAAAGAGAGGAAAGATGAATCACTTGTAGGTGGGCAAAATCTCTCTCTTCCTCCTGAAACATTTTACTTTATTTTTTACTGATTGTTCTAGTAAAATAGCCTCATTTTGGAAAATGAGAGCCTCAGAGAAATATAAAGAGATGAGAAATGTTAACATTTTGGGTATTTTCTCCCTGTCCTCTGAGTGTTATTTTTTCCTTTTTCTTTTATAAAAATTGAATTATCATTGATTTACAATATTGTGTTTCTAGTGTATAGGAAGGTGATCTGGTTATAAATATAATTACATATATGTATGTATTCTTTTTTTGACTCTTTTCCACTATGGCTTATCACAAGATACTAAATCTAGTTTCCTGCGCTGTACAGTAAATGCTTGATGTTTTTCTGTTTTATATATAGGAGTGTGTGTCTGTTAATCCCATATTCTCAAATTATCCTTTCCCCCTCCTTCCCCTGTGGTAACCATAAGTTTGCTTTCTATGTCTGGATCTGTTTCTATTTTGTAAACAAGTTCCTTTGTACTGTTTTATAGATTCCATGTATGAGTGTTATCGTATACTACTTGTCTTTGTCTGTCTGAGTGACATCACTTGGTATGATAATCTCCAAGTGCATTCATGCTGCTGCAAGTGGCAATATTTCATCCCTTTTTGTAGCTGAGTAACATCCCGTTGTACATACGGGCTTCGCAGGCAGCTCAACGGTAAAGAAACTGCCGGTCAGGCAGGAGTCACAGGGGCCATGGGTTCGATCCCTGCGTCTAGAAGATCCTCTGGAGAAGGAAGTGGCAACCCACTCCAGTATTCTTGCCTGGGAAGTCCCATAGACAGAAGAGCCTGGTGGGCTACAGTCCCCGAGGTCCCAAAAGAGTCGGACATGACTCAGCGACTCAGAAACAACAGCAGCAAGCAGAGGCTGCAGGGAGAAGAAGCGCCTTTTCTCTGCGCCCTCAGACTTGCTGGGCAGTTCCTCCAAGGTAAGTAGCAAACTGCGGTCCAGACCAGCTTTGGCTCCTCTCTTTATCGGTGTTGCACTCTGGTTTTATTAACTCTTGGAGGCCCTAAAACAGTGTCGGTTATGCTCCAGCTTGCTCTTCTGCCCTCAGTTTGTGAACACGCCACACCCTGTCCTTGCCTGTCTGGGAAGGCAGGAAGTGTCACCTTGCTCTCAAGGAACGTAGCTCATCTGGCCCCCTGAGTGGTCTCTCTTCCCTTCGGGTCCAGATCATTGTTCCTCGAGAATTTTCCTTCGCCCCAAGGAACAGAGTGGAATGGGGGACCCGAGGCTGTCTGCTAAGTGAGCTGTCAGACATCTGGATGGAATGGGGCTTGCTTTTTGTTACGAGCAGCTGCGAAGACTGCTGCTCATACCCCAACCCCTGTGTGTGTGACGCACACATGGAGACAGCCTTTGGTAGAGCACACAGCCAGCCAGGTACTTTGCTGAGAGTCCTGCAGGCATCATTCCCTTTGGTCTTCCCAAGGATCCGTGAGGTGGACAGTCATTTGTCCCATTGGATGCAAGTAGCTTCGGCTGTGCAGAGTCACACAGCTGGTGAGTGCAGAACCAAGACTTGCACCTTCATCTCTCTCACTTTCAACTCTAGGCTTTTAAGCGCTATCCTAAACCGCCAGCCCCGAAAGCAGATCATCCTAAAGCTGGAGGGGACTTCGAGCATGCTAAGTCGCTTCAGCCATGTCTGACTCTTTGCAACCCTATAGACTGTAGCCCGCTAGGCTCCTCTGTCCATGGGGTTCTCCAGGCAAGAACACTGGGGTGAATTGCCATGCCTTCCTTCAGGGGATCTTCCTGACCCAGGGATTGAACCCGTGTCTCCTGAGGCTTCTGCATTGGCAGGCAGATCCTTGACAGCTGAGCCACTGGGGAACCCTGGAGGGGCTTCGAGGGAGCTTTAAAAGCTTTGTCAGTGTCCCTGACCCTGTGCCCGCCCACTAAATCTGTGGCTGGGCCTGCCTAGGTATGTGATTTTGTAAGTTCTGCAAGTAATTCTGAGGGCAGCCTGGATCTGAGAACCGATAAAATCCAACACGTCTATTTACAAAGGATGAAACTGAGGCCCAGAGCGGGGTTCTCCCAAGTCTGTGCTTCTGTTGGGAAGCAGAAGTGGAGTTAGGTCTGGGAACCGTTCGAGTCCGTGGGGAGACCCTATGCGGCCAGAAGCACTGACGGCAAGCGCCGACTCCAAGCCTTCGCGTGGGGCTGACTCCAGACAAGAAGCCAGACACCTGCGCCTGCTCCCCCTCCAGCCGCAAGAGGCTCATTTGTCCGTGCTCAGCCCTCAAACGCCAGTCTGAACACTAGGAACTGAGTTTGTCTCCCCGGTGGCCCTTTCAGGGATGCTGTTTGGAATTTTAAAGTCCCTCCGCTAGGGCAGGGAGCCGATTTCCCGAGGCTAGTTCCCCCTGCCCCCCGACTCTGGTCCCTCTCGGCAGGCCCAGTGGGTCCTGACCTCACCTGGGGCTGCACGTTCCCCGCGTCAGGTACAGGCCTCTCTCCTCTCAGCCACGTGGCCAGCTCCACATGGCAGATTTGTGGCCAAAGGGCACAGAGGTTGGGCTTAGGTTCTGAGAACCTGGTTCGCGGAGGGCAATGACCGGATCCTAGAGGGAGCGGCGGTGGGGAGCGGCGGTGGGGGGCGGCGGTGGGGGGCGAGGAGGGGGCGTGGTCTGAGCCCGCCAGGCTGCCGAGGCGTGGGTGCTCAGTCGCTCCCTTGTGTCTGACTCGTTGTGACCCTATGGACTGTAGCCCCCCAGGCTCCTCTGCCCACGGCAGTTCTCCAGGCAAGAATACTGGGGCGGGTTGCCATGCCCTCCTGCAGGAGATCTTCCTGACTGAGGGGTGGAACTCACATCTGCTGTGTGTCCTGCATTGGCAGGTGAGTTCTTTACCACTACCGCCACCTGGGAAAAGCTCGGGAATTTGGGAGGTCAGCAAAAGTGGCAGAGATGCCGAGATATTCCTCCCTCTTCTCGGGGGACCCAGGAACCAGCCTTTGATCCCACCACACTGCCGGCTGCACTGGGCTGTACCCCTCAGGAGGGAGGGGACATCTGGACCTGGGAGATAGGACCTGACCTGACCCAGAGCCTGGCCTCAGGGGAGGGGATTCCCCTTCCCGCGGTGACGGGGGAGTTGTGTCATCCGGTTCTCACATTCCATCTTGTTTGTTTAATCTTGTCAGCAATCCGTGCTGTTTGTCTGCTCACCTTCTCTGGTTTCCCACCCCTTGTGGGGCGCTCATGTCCTCACTCAGAGCAGCTTCCTATTGGCATGAGGGGGAGACCCTGCCCGCATATGCCAGAGGCTCTGGGATGGGGCAGCGGAGCCCAGCGCCTTCTTCACCTGTGCCCACACAGAAGACCTCTGCGTGGAAAAACAGGAAGGCACCTCGTGGTGGGTGCTCTGGATGTTTCTGTAGCATTGGTGTTTCCCCAGGCGTCTCTGGTCCATGTTAACGCTCCAAAAGCACACTTTTCAGATAGCGGGTCCTGATTAGCTTTGGGAAACATCAAGTTCAGAGTCTGGTGGACTCTGGTCAAGGATTGCCAAGAGCGGAGGCAGGGAGTTCAGGCCATTTTAGGCCCTAAAATGTGGTAAGGCCTAAGTAGTGGTTAAGAAGTTGAAGCTCCAATACTTTGTCCACCTGATGCAAAGAGCCAACTCACTGGAAAAGACCCTGATGCTGGGAAAGATTGAGAAGGAGAAGGGGGTGACAGAGGATGAGATGGTTGGATGGCATCACCGACTTGATGGACATAAGTTTGAGCAAACTCCAGGAGATGGTGAAGGACAGAGAAGCCTGGTGTGCTGCAGTCCATGGGGGTCGCAAAGAGTCGGCCATGACTGAGTGGCTGCATAACAGTGGTGAAGAACTTGAGTGCAGAGCAAACTGGTCTGGGTTCCAATGACCACTTATTAGCTGGGACCAAGTTCTTGAAGATGTACCTCACTGTCCTCATCTTCAAAGAAAGGATGATAAGTGTACACTGCATGGGGACACAGATGGATGTTCAGGCTGGGAAGGGGAGGGAGGAGGAAGACGGACTCTGTGGAAGAGAGTAACACCGTGATGGCAGCCCAGGGCCCCGTTCTGCCTTCTCCAGGTCCTGGCCCGAGGCTGGGCTCCAGCCTGAGTTCAGGAAGCCCCACCTCCTCGCTCTGGTGCCTGAGGAGTGACCGAGCGTCTGGACGGCCGAGCAGCTGTGGCTGAATCACATGGTGGATCCGCAGGGCCCTTCCTGGAGCCCACCCAGCCCTACAGACGAGGACTCAGCCGTGACTCACTGGGTCCAGGTGGTGCCCAAGCCGTGAGTCACCCCGCGCCCCTTCCTCTTACACCTGGGATTCGGCATGCACAGCCTGCACCAGCTTCTCTTGCCTTCTCAACCTCTTCTCTTCTCCTCTCCCTCCTTCCCACCTTTCTTTGCTTCATACGCCTTTCTCTCTCACTCATCAGACCCTGGCTGATCTCCCTGGCTATATGGACGGCTTGAGCCTGTCAGATGGGTAATGCAGATGGCAGCTTCTCAGGCCGCTCCTGAGATGTCGTGAGGGACGACGGACAAGCAGGCAGAGGGGGAGACTTGCCTGCCCTGACCTGGTGTCGTTTCTGTGACTTGGGGGCATGTGTGTTAGTCTGTCAGTCACGTCTGACTCTTCGTGACCCCGTGGACTGCAGCCCTCCAGGCTCCTCTGTCCATGGGATTTTTCAGGCAAGAACACTGGAGTGGGTTGCCATTTCCTTCGTCAGGGGATCTCCCCAACCCAGGGATGGAACCCTTGTCTCCTGCATTGCAGGTGGATGATACTTTACTGTCTGAGCCACCAGGTTAATTTCGTTAGCTCCCTCTGCCTTTGGAAGGGGGAATAACAGGGTTGCCAGATGGACAGACGTGAGGAAGAGAGGAACGGGGAATCAAGGAGAACCCCTTTCCTGAGCATTGGTTCTAACAAGCCACGGCTCTGGGGAGCTGAGGGTGGGGGGCTCTGGGGCAGGATGGTGGGTGCCAGGAGAGGAAGGGGCCGTGGGGGGTAGGCTGTTGGAGCAGTGCCTAGCGGGTCTTTAGCCCTTGCCAGCTCCCACCCTTGCTTTTGCCTGTGTGTTAGACTTCTTGTCTCTGAACAGACTGAGTTCTGAAGTTCAAGGCCTGTGCCTGGGGCCCTCCGGTGCTGGGGAGTGGGGGATGGGGGCTGGATCCCCACTGGGACGTGCTCAACGTCCCGGAGGAGTGAGGCTGGCTGGGCCCTCCTTGGGGTTTGCCGAGGCAACGTCCTGACCTGGGCTGGGAACGTGGAATGGGGTGCAGGGGCCCACACAGGGCAATTTGCTTTCCCCTTTGTGAAGCCAAACCACGCTGGGACCTGCCCTGGCCTGTGAAGTCTGAGACACCTATTTACCTGGGCTCCTGGCCTCGTAAGCGGAGAGGAGGAGGGGGGTTTAAAGGGCTCAGCCTCCTGCCGCCTGCCCGCCCTGCCTGTCTGGGGATCTGGGACGGCAGCAGCTGCTCCTTCCGCTGCATAAACTATTCCTGAGCTCTTCGTCACATCCTCTTCCTGCAGGACAGACAGCTCCACGAGCAGCCAGGCTTCCCGGAAGCCCTGCGTTCAGGGAGTTGGCGGGGTGGAGAGAAAGAGACCAGGCGGGTGGGCTTAAAGCCCTGGGGGTGTGAGCCGTGCCCTTTCCCTGCGGGGGGCTGCAGGGCTGTGTGCCTGTTCTTCCTGCAGAGGCAGAGCCCGGGAAGGCCAGCCGCTCATACTGATCCTGGCTTGTTAAGCCAGATTTTACTGGAATGTTTACACGGGTCAAGACGCTAACGTGTGGGAAAGTTCATTTTGCAACTGAACGGCTTATCGTCCATTTGCTACTTAGAGTATTTCTCCTGCCTATCTAAACCTCTTGGGCTATATGAGAATCTGAGGGTTAGAAATGCCCAGTTTACCATTTAATCCACAAAATCCTCTGTTTTGCCCTGAAGTGTTCTCAAACCAGTTTCTTGGACACAACCCTCCAGTTCCTGCTTAGGAGTCACTGACAGGCTGGACTGGCTCGTTTAGAGTCTCCTTTAGTAGAACCTTGGAGGTGACCATGTCCAAACAATGCCTTTGTAGGCTGTGCCCAGCCAAGATCTGGACTGGGCGACCTTCCAGATCTCTCTAAAAGCCCTCGGACCCTCGCCTGGTGGAGGGGAGACGTGTCCTCTGAGACCAGCCCCTCTCTCTGGGCCTGTGACTGTCATTACAGCCACTCTCAGCCCAAAGCCCCGAGCCAGGAGCCACCCAGGGTCCCACAAAGGCAGCTGTGTTCTCAGGCCTGGCGGGGGCCCAGGGGAAGTCGGTCCAGCTGTGCCTCAGCCCTCCCTTCCCACTCCTGTGGTCAGATCTGTTTTCTGTCCCTCCAGGCGGGCATTCTTGCCCAGTGGGAGGGGCTGGGAAAGCAGCCTTTCCGCGAGCTGGGAGCTGTGACTCACAGGTAGTTACCTGTCCTTGGGCTCCCTGCCAAGCCTGCAAGGGAGCCGGAGGGGAGGCATTTAGAGTTCATGCCTGTTGATTTCTCCTAAGCTTTTCTTGGGTGGGTTGGGCTCTGACCCCTTCCTGATGAACCATAGCCTTTTAATCCGCACCCCCCTCCCCAAGAAGCAGGGGTTTTCCACTTTTTTGCTTTCCCTTGGGAGGTGCTTTCCAGGGTCCTCGATGATGTTTGCATCTTCTCCCCTTTCAGCTAGCTGACAGGTCTGGGGCTGTAATACCTGATATGCAAGCCCTGATCCTTATGTTCTCTGCATGGTCTTCTGTCCAGGGTGGCCCAGGACCCCAGGAGAGGCTGACCTCTACGGGCCTTGGGAAAGGACCCAGCGCAGCGGCCGTCATAATGTGAGTGGCCATCACCCCCCGCCCCGCCTCCCCACCACCGGCCCCCAGGAATCCTGGTCTCCTGTGATCACTCACATTTCCCTGGTGTAGCCCACTCCCACGCCCCAGCAAGCAGGTGGGCACTGCCGATCTTGCTGTGAGGCCTCCGGACCGGCCCCACCTGCCCAGTCCTGTCTGGGGGTGGGGTGGGGGTGTGGTGACGGCAGAAGGGTGTGTGCCAGCGGCCAGATTCCTGAGTCCCGCCCTGCAGCCGGCGACGCCCAGTCGGGGAGTCTCCAGAGGTGAAGCCGTTGTTTAAAAACTGGGAGCCAGGAGAGGAGACCCCCACATTCAAGGGGAGCGTCTCAGAGAGGCGATCTGGAGAAAGCACTGCGGCAGCACGGAGCAAGGTCTGTTACCTGCCTTCACCTGCCGGGTGGGGGCCGAGGGTCGGACCAGGCTTGTGAACCTGGCTGTCTGGGGCCTGGCTGCAGGTCTAGATTCCTTCCTCTTCCTGGGAGCTTCAGCTAAGCCCATTGGGATCCAAAGGCTGGGTGTCGAGTCTGCCACTGTTTGGATTGCTTTCTCCCATCTGATAAGCGTCTCGGTGACTTAGAAGAGAGCAGGTTCAGAGCTGGGGTTGGACAGAAAGAGGGAAGGAGAGGGCAGGTTGGCCTCTTCTAAGAGCTGCTCACAGTGCCTAGTTCCAGGCGGGGAGGGGGCGAGTTTCCAGCCCCTGGAGGAAGCCAGATGATGGGTCTTCCTCTTGGGCCACAGTTAGCTGTGTGAGCTCAGGCCACCTGTCTCTTCTCTGGGCCCCTGACTCCTCTGATAGGGGATTGGAGGAAAAGAGTTTGAAGCCTTAGGATATTTGATTTAAAGATGTCAGGGGGTCCCCTGCCCCGCCTTGGCATCCCTCCATCTGGGCCGAAAGAATGTGTGGCTGTCGTTGGAGCAGAGTAAGCACCTGATCCAAGGCAACGGTGGACTCCCCATGAGCAGGGTGGGGCTTGCCTCAGCAGGGCAGTGCCCTGCCTCTAGGACGCCCCCCCCCGCCAGCCTCCTTCAGTAGCCTCCCAACCGCCACCCCTCCTGTGCATCCCCAGTGCATCACTGGAGAAGTTTAGAGTTGCTCTCAATTCAGATGAATTCCTCACTCACTTTTTAAAGACTTCTAGGCCTCCTACTTTTTTCCCATTGTATTCCACTCCCTGCTCA